CCCCCCCCCAATGGACTACTTAAGCTGCTCCCTCCCGCCTTCCCGTTCGCCTCCAGTGCACGGCATCCCAGCTGGGTGCACACTGCACGCAACCGGCGGTGCCCATGGCAACGTTAATCAGGTCCACTGGGATGGCAGCTTCCTGTGTTTATATCTGCATCACAGCCGCCTTGCTTAGAATACCATGTTTTATTTTGCCATTTTTACAAGCACAGTAACTGAGGCACAGTAAATTTTCACACAGGCAGGTGAGAGCTGAAGGTCAGAGCACAGGGTCGGCTGTTTATCAAACACCCCAGGGGCAGTTTTGAGGTTAATGGCCTTGCTCAAGGGCCCAACAGTGATATGATTACACTACCAGTAATGGGCACAGATTCCTAACCTGTAGAGCCAACATACCAACATGATATTTGGGCATCAGCCCCAGTGCAGGATGGAACTGAAACTTTCTTGTTTATAATCACACTTTTTTTCAGCTCGCCTGAACACGAGCAGCTGCTATTTTGACAGTCACGACGGTGCCTTGGCAAACAATAGGCGAGAGGGAGATTATGGAACGTTTGGGTACTGCTGCACGTAAATCTGAAAGGAAATAGAGCGAAGGAATGTTGATTCTGAATAATACCAGTGCTTTGTACAACTCCATGGAAACAGTAGCGCCTGTCCGAGCTGGCAAAGGCCGGTATGAGCGCCCTCCCAATCACAGAAAGCGATGCTTGGCCCTGAGACGACCACGTACCACACCACCGACACGGTTAGGGTGGAGAGTCCTGTGTTTGTTACAGCCCGGAATGGTCACTGATCCCAATTCAGATCATGGGTGACAGCCACTTGACAGTGACCTCATTCCCCTTTCTTCTCCACACATACATCTGTAACATCACTTTAACTCAGAAAAGCATTCAAAATAAAGTGTTCTCTTTATAAATCACACTCTACTTGGAATTGTGCGCAGGTGGCTCAACCTCATATTACACCATCTACAAGCCCACGTTCAGCCATAAATGGTCAATGCAAAACACCACATGAATACTGATGCACACAAATTAAGCCCGATAAACGTTTACTTATGGCAACCAACTGGAAGTTTAAGAAAGACTTTTATAAAAGAAAAACCATTTTGTTTGGGGGACTAAAGCAATGGCAGTGACAAAGGAAGGTGCAGCAAGTGGAAGCAAACAGGACGGTTCAGGAGATGAAAAAAAAATCCATTACACAGCATTACGCACCCGTGTAACCGCAGTATTTATATGTTTCCAGCAATCAGACTGTTTGCTTCACAATCTCAAATGATCGTGATAATCCAGTGATGTCCGTCACTAGTATGTTCACATTTCAACAGCTGCAGTGCAGAAATCGCTGATGAAATAAGTGCAGTTTGATGTAAGATTTAATTTGAGTCAGCGTATATATTTTAATACTGACAAGTCCTCATGGAATAATTATGGCTCACTATCACAAATAAAAAGCAGATGTATGTGTCATGTGTGCTATGAAGTGAAATTAAATATGAGTTATGACAAGCGCAGGACATCATTATACGTGTAATGATACCACTCACATTTTTTCCCTACAATCTGGCTTCAATCCACCATCTCCACCTGGGTCGCCAATTGTCTGTAGAACATTCGTACGCGTGAATCGGAGTCTCCGTACAGATACGCACATTCTGCTGTCAAGTTTGTTTCTATAGATCGCAATGTTTGCATGGGACGTGGCGTACGCCTCTTTCAGGGCCCATTTTGTGCATACACAACAGTTAAAAAAAAAAAAAAAAAAACCTCTGGTGTCCTGAGGCCCCCGGCCAGAGGTGTCTAACTTAATGCCTGCTTGGGCAAACAGCTTCTTTCCTACTAGACTCAGTAACAATCACTCCAGCCTAGGACTCCCAGTGACAGTTCGATTCCACCTCATCTTTGGAACTACAGCCAGACGAACATTCTGAATGGGTGTCAGCGTGGTCTCAGTCTTCACAGTATCGGAATTTACAGCTTCTTCCTCTGGAAACCCCACTGCTCACTGTGAGACCCCAAGCCACATCCCCGCCTGCGATGAGTCACTCCTCACACGGCACATTAACGCCTTCAGATTCACAAGTCACACCTCTGACATCCCTGAAAACATAATTGATTTAAATAGTTTCATTTTAAACACAAGTTAAAGTTTACATCTCGTCCAAAGCCACGTACATGCTACCGTACACCAGCCGGAGAGGCCAGCTGTACACAGACAATGCGTGTTGACTTATGGGGTCGATGTTGCAACCTGAGGAGAGGGACCTTTGTGGCCCCGGACATTGTACTCGCCAATAAGAAGGGATAATAGCAGGAAACGAAAGAGAAGCAGCACATGTGGCTGCCAGGTCAGTCTGCAGTGAAGCAAAACAGCAGCACTGCTTCATTATTTTGGGACAATCATTTAAATATGGGAGGGAGGGAGGTGATTAACTCTGCATAAGATGATCGTTCTGTAACTCGACCCTATGAGCTATAAATAAGGGTAAGACCTTCCCTGTAGTCGATGTGAAACACCGCCGTGGAAAAGCGACACTTTGCTCTGACGCGACCTCCTGCGGGGGAGGGATTTTCTCCATTTTGGAAGTCTCACGTTGGCCACCTTTGCACGGCAGCGGTTGCTAGGCATCTTGAATTGTGAACACTGGGGGGGGGGGGGGGGTTGGGGGACTTGCCAGAATACCAAGATCCACGCTGACTGTGGAAAGGGTACAGATCAGCAACTCCAAAACAAATGGTGGTCTACAGGGTCCAGAACACCTGAAAAATTAATCACTGGAACGAGGAGATGCGGGAGTGTGTGACAGGTGACGAGAGGTTGGCCCATTTATCCATTTTCATAATGATTTGAATACAGGGCGGCGGCCATTCGCTGACGGTGGCCGTATCTCCTGACACCTGTTGCCTGGTCATGGCTTGTGACCAGCCCACTGTTGCTCTTTTGCCAACTTCTGCCACATCAGACGGTGACACCTACACAGAAAACAAATGGGAGGGGGGTGTGGCTTCGTTTGGCTGGGGCTTTGGAAGTAAGATTCTTTGGCTCACACGTGTTTAACCTTCAGCGTGACCTTTAGAGCAATGCATAATGCAGACGGCAGCTCTTTCTAAGTCTGCGCTGATGCCACCTGCATTGTTTACGGCAAGTCATACCATTTACATATTTATGCATTTTTACGCACCGGTTCTGAAGTTTAGGGCTCAGCTTCGCTCGTTCCATTAGCACATTAAAAGCGTCAGAACTTACTTCAAAGTAGGTACCTCTGGGACGGAGAGGACCGGGGAAATTTCACTGGGCAGCCTCCTAATATTAGCTTCTTCTCTAAGGAAAATCTCCCCTGTCTTATTTTGTCAGGCAGCAACAGAATCTTGTTCCCTTCCCTGGCTTCTGATGAAGGGGAATCCCTTACAGGTGGGTGGCAGGGATTGGCAGTGCCCTCTGAGTACCCCGGGGACCACTGGCGTGCCAGAGCCCAGCCCCCCGGTCCGTAGGGAGAGAGACGGAGCCACAGGCGCCGGTCGCCCGCAGCCCGGTGTTCCCTCCCCTCTCATCCGGGCTGCCGGAGGACAGCTTTCCGCCGGGTGCCCGGCAAAGATAGGGATGACATTGGATATCTCCACTGCCCTTCACACGCGCAGTGAAGCTGCAATGCACTGCCTACGGACAGAGCCCCAGTCTGTGCTCACTGCTCAGCGTGGATTTCCCTGACCTACTTAGAGGAAGGAGAATGTAAATTACTGACAAACATGCAAAAACCCACAACCAGTGAATTACTTTCCAAACAGAATGAAATATTTACACGATATTTACACATCTATTGAGAATCTGTACAATTTTTTATAATGGACTGAGAGTCTGCTGAAGAGCACTTTATCCATGATTTAAAAATTCAATTTTAAAAACGCGTACGTTCCGGTTTAGGTTTCTGGAAAAACTCATCACTCATCAGAAATTGCGCACGGAGAGACGCTTCATCACGGACTCTGACGCACGAGGTCAGCAGAGTACAGAAGCCGCCCGCGGTCTGGTTAGCGGAGATCCACGCTTCTCAACCCCATCTTGTTTACTAGTCCTACACACCTCTTTTTGCCAAGAGAGATCCACATCCCTCTCACTTCACAGATCTCACCGCACGTTCACTCTCTCCGACTATCCATCCACTTCCAGAAAACACATCTCCATGCCAGACTGATGCGGAGTCCAGCCAAGAAGGTATGACTCACTACTAATGTCCCCTCTTTCACGATCAAGCATTT